TGAAAACCTCAGGCTCTTACCCATTTCCTCTGAGGGATCACCTTCTAGAGTCCTGCTCTCGTAGTTCAAACTACTTTGTAACTCGATTAAAATGTTTAGCATCCTTGCAAAATTACTTGAGAAGGAGCTGATACCAGTGAGGAATAATTTCTGTGAAAGCACGAACGTCTGTCTGGTGACCTCGGTGTAAGCAGGGCATCCCCTGGTCCAGAGCAGCTTGTGCTCACGTGCCTCAGTGCTGGGCGGTCGTGACTGCTGGTGAAAACTCAGCAGCCCGCCCTCCCCTTCCCATCTCGGCATCCACCGGGGCACCTTTGCCAGCCGTCCGTGATGGGAGTGTGAGTGCGGCCCCAGAGCTCGGCCTGCACTCCGATCCCCGGCAGGTCCCTCGGCCACAGTGGAGGAGTGCGGCTGCGGGTTCCTCCCATGGTTCATCTTCGTGGGGGAAACGGCCCTCTGCCTCCCCGGAGCGACCCTTCCAGCCTCCACCCACGCTGAGCTCAGTCAGGAGAAAGGAAGAGCCAGGAGCCTGACGGCACGCCTCTGTGCTCCTCGTGCTGACAGGAAGCGCTGGTGGGCATTCGGCCCCTTTATGAGGGAGGGCAGGTGGGTCTGTGAACGCGGGAGCCCCTGTGTCAGCCGCCTTCTCCTTTTCTCCTGATTGCACTATACTTGCTCTCGCTGCAGGCCGGAGATACCCAAGACCTCCGTGGGGTCATGACCCAGAGACTGAGCAAGTCTCGCCTTATCCGTGGAGCTTGACAGGGAAACGTGACTATTGTCTGATGTCCGTAGTTCATTTCTTCCTTCTTTCCTCGCGCTGTGTTACTCTGAACTGTTTTGGTTTTTATTTACCAAAGTACTGTACTTGGCTATTCGCAGTGTCTCCAGAACCAAATGTTTTCTTTTTTGTGTGTTTTTAATCTTCAAAACTTGGTGCAATAGAAGCTGCGGAGATGTGCCACTTTATCTACGAGATGGGGTTTTGTATACCAATAAATTCTGGCTTAAAGACAGAGCTTCCAGTTGTCTTTGTCACTGGCCGCCGTTTGCACGAGGCAGAGAGCCTGCCGGTCCTTCTCAGAGACTTCACAGGAAGCTGGGCCTGCTCCGCCCGTGGACAGCTGTTCAGGATCTCACTGAACTCAAGCAGCTGGTTGCAGCTTCCGCCCGGGTGAGGGTGGCCGCGCACACTGGCCGGGCCCTCCTCCGCCCTGCTGGGTGTCTGAGAACGTCTCTCACAGTTAGCCGTTGTCTAGATAAAGAGCAGCTGTGTTTTGGCTGCCCCGAGGGCTTCTCCAGAACTCTGGGGCTGGGTTTGACCCCTTTCCAGGAGGGATCGCCTTCCCCCAGACACACGTGGGTGGCAGTGACCGCACAGGCTTACCTGGAAGTGGTGCTTGGGAAGGGGCGGGGGCGGCGGCCACAGAGCGACAGAGGGCCGGCCCCTGGGCGAGACTGTCGGGGCCAGTCCTGAGGTCGAGGTTGCCGCCGTCTTGCCAGCCGCACTGCGGCCTCGTGGTTTTGGCCTCTAGGTTCCCACCTGATCTTGTTCTGTGTGCTCGTCAAGCAGCCTGTGAATGGGCCCCACGGTACCTTGATGCCGAGAGGGGTCCGTCCCACCCTGGGTGGATGGGGACTTCTCCAGCTGCTGGCGAGGCCGTCCCTTCCCTCCGTCCCGGTCACTGTCCTCCCCTTGTGATGTTTGCCTCGTTCCGTGACCCGTAGACCTTGGGGTGCACAATGCTATCCAGTTCTTGAGCCTGCGAGGCCCAGACTCCGGACCCTGTTCACCCAGCTGAGAATCTCTCTGAGATCCGCTAGGACCGGAATGCTGCCCCGGTGCAGGGTCTGTCCCCCCTCCCAGGTGGAGAACGTCCATGGCCTCCTTGGTACCATTCCTCAGTGGTTCTGCTGGGGCTGGGGGCTGCCTGCTGGGCTGCGTGGTGGTCCTGGGGCTGCCTGCCTGGGTCTTGGTGACCTGTGAGGCCGGGTGAGTCTGCAAGGGCAGAAGTGTCCTCAGGCCTCAGAGGGGACAATTAAAGGAATATGGTATGTTGTTATAGGTTTTCCTCCAGGCCACAGGCTTGCTTACTCCGGGTGAGTGATAATTTATGGTCCCAGACTGAGATGCCGTACGGGGAAAGTGGCTGTCCCTGTGTCCCCTCTTGGTAACTGGTCATGGTTGTCTAGGAGAAAGCAGGGTTGAAAAACCCAGGATTAAAGTTACCTTTTCCCCAGATGGGCAGAAAGTGCGTGTCCACCTTGAGATAGAACCAAAACTTGTCATAGATGCTCTGCTCCAGTATGGGTTTAGCTGGACTGCTGGACAGAGTGGGCACTCAGACCGTAGTGATGCAGTGATTTAGAACTTTCTGTGTTAAATAGGATCTAGACCAGTCCTGCTGATTCGTGGATTCTGGTTTGGCAGCAGAAAAACTTTTCTGTCTTGGAGAAACTTGTCTGAAATTCCCTAGGTAGAGGGACCTAGATATATCACGATACTCAGCTTTCATTCAATTTATTCACCAATCCAAGCATCCAGGAATTTCTCACTTACTGAACCTGTGCTGTGTTGGAATCTTTATTTCTGGGCATTGAATCAGACATGGACCTTGTCCTCGAAAACCTTTCAGCCCAGCAGTGAAAGTGGACCCAAGAGAAGACAGGCCTTAACAGGAAGTACTGATAGGAAAAGGCTGTGCGTTCAGAAGGGAAACCAAGGAAGGCTCCGTGGAGGAAGTGTCATTTAGATGAGGCATGAAAAGGGAAGCAGGTGTAAATGGGGAGTGAGGTTTTGGGGACCAAAGGGCCAGCATAAGCAAACCCCTCGAGTGGGAGAGCGTGATTTCCCGTGTGTTAGGGACAGAGTTTGCTAAGGATGGACGGTTCATTTGGAGACAGACTAGGGACTCCTTTCTTCAAATGCTTGTCACACGTCGTTTGCCACCAGAAGACTATTGCTGCACTTGCTGAATGAATTCCAAACATCAGGCATTCCTGATCCCTCCTGACCACATCTTACGGTGTCCCAAATCCGCCTCTGTGTACACTTCTGACCTTGGCACACATCACAGGTAGCGGCCCTCCAGGAAAACGCTGTATACCTTCTCTCTAGCCAATTGCCAATTGCCTCATTGTCTCTGTAGGACACACGTTCAGGGCACAAAAGGTTAATGATTTCCAAACACATATCCATTGAAGATAAATGAGTGCCCTGAGTAGTGAGCCAAGGGGCTGTTCAAGTAAATTAGTACAGTATTTATCATGTGTATGATGCCACGTCTGTAAAATCACCATGATCATGTATCTGTGGATTCAGTTGAACAGATGGATTCAGTAGGGGGGACAAAAATGCAAAGTGACCTAGCGCAGATGGAGCTCTCTGAGGCTCCAGGCACTTTGAGTAACTTGTCTCATTTAAACCTTAAAACCACCCAGTGAGGCTGATGGTCCCATCCCCATCTTACACAGGAGAGGATAAATGATGGGTCCAAGATCACAGATTTGAATTCAGGGCAGTCTGCACCATGTAGGAACCCAAAATGAGAGCCCAAGTAACGGGTACGTATCCCTGGGAAAGGTGAGAACACAATGCTTAGCCCTTCAGAGGAGGGCGAGATCTCCTCCAAGTGGAAAAACATCATGGAAGAGGTAGCATCTGAGATGTGCCTCTCAGCACGTGGATGTGAATGTGGCGATAAGGAGTCTGTGAAGCGGGAGGCTTCTAGGTTGAAGGAAGCTATTGCAGAACTGCAAAGGGAGGTGGGCCTGTCCTGGCAGTGGTGAGGAGCATAGAGAAATACATGTGGCGGGATAAAGGCCTGGAAAAGCTCATGAAACCAAGCTTGAGTGCTAGGGGTCGGTGGATGATGGGGAGCCATAGATGGTTCAGGGCAGGAGAGTGATGTGATAGAAATCAAACTCTGGGAAATGAAGCTGGTGTTGGTGGATGATGGAGAATGAAGGGCTGAGGAACATTTGGTTCTGAGAGCCCGCTTTTGCCTCCATTACAACACTCAACTAGGGTAGCATGGCTGGTGGCATCTGTCTGGAGGTTGGCCACATCAGACTTGTCTCTGTCTCCAGCATTCAGCGAGGGGCCAGGAGCATCGTTTGTGTGAAAGTGTATCGAGGGAAAGGATGAAATTTAATACGGTATTCAGTTCTCCAGCAGTCTCTCCAAAGACGACAAAGAACCCTAAGGAAGCAGACAAATGTCCATGAAATCGTAATTGGACTTTTAACTCGGGAATTCCAATGTGATTTGACTTCTAACCACTTATTCAGCAAGTTATTTAATTGAACACTTGGTTCATAGCTTATGCTAGGGGCTAGGTGGGAACAAAAGCAAAACTCATCCAAGTCCTGTCATCAAAACTGGAGAGGCAAGCTGTGAAACAGTGAGGTAACAGAGCTTTCAGCCTTGATTTAGTCCCACGCCTCATGCATTCATTCACTCATTCAATGAACTGAGAAACAGCATTTTTTTTTTATATATATAACAATGCCTGGTGAATGCCAAGTGCTTGATAAATGTTAGGAATTGTTACTATGATTGTCATTCACTTACGGGATTCTTTATAAGGTTCGAGGCATTATTTTGTGTACATTCATACATGGTGATTTATTAAAACCTCGCGATAACCAGCCTGCCCGGGACGTGTCATTGTTCCATTTGACAAGTGTGGAGGCCGGGGTGGTGGCCATCTATCGGTGCTTTTTGATTTCAGCGTGCATATGCACCACTTGGGTTTCTTGTGAACCAGCAGGTCTGGGATCAGGTCCACGATTCTGCATTTCTCACAAGCTTCCTGAGCAGTGAGGTCTTGAATGACACGCTGCTGCTACCTGGGAAAGCAGAAGGCTCTACCTGGAACCTGCAACAGCATCAAGTTCAGGGTTCTGCTTTCCTCTTTTCAGTCCTTTCCACCAAGTCTACAGCTGGAAATCGAGTGTGTGGACTATAGAGACGCACAAACAGGAGTTAGATGGAATCATTTACTCATTCACCAAACATTTATTGATTCCTGGGAAAACAGGCTGCACCCAGGCTTGCTCTCAAGCTCTAATTTTCACCCTGTCCGATGGTTAAACAACTGTCGCGTCACCAGGTCCTTGCAGCCATGCATCATGCCCAGAACACCACCTTGTCTTCATCTCTCCCGAGTCAGATCCTTCTTCCTGTGTTTCTCGTGTGTGCAGCGGCACCACCATTCTGAGAGGTCTTTAGGACTTGTTATTTCTCAGCTTGTTTATTATTGAAAATATGAGAGGACTGATCTCACTAGCCCTGAAACACCCGTTGTCCCCCTGACAAAGGGAAATCCAGGTTTAAACCAAATTTGTTTCCTCCCGGCAGCCTGAACGAAATGGGCACCAGAGGGCGCCTCCGGACCACGCTTCCTAACAAACGCGGTCCTCTCTTCCCCACCCGTCCCCGTGGCACTTTAAGACCTCATCTCCTGGTGATTTTTCACCCAGGATTTGAGTCAGTCATGGCAGCAAAGCACACACATCTGCCCCTCTCTTGTTTGTTTAGCCGGCAGAGAACTTCTTCACCTTTTAAAATTTATGATGATCGTCCTTTCGATGGCTTCAGGCTCTTTCCTGCCCTCAAAGCCCTGAACGTTGTACACACGCCAAGAAATGGAGAGAGGGAGTGCACGTTTATTCCCTGAGCACCGTGAGCTTTGCCTGCGCAGTGTGTTTTTACATGCTTTATCTCACTGAATAGGCTCATCCCAACCCTGGGAGATTTTCTCAGCATATTACAGACAGTGGAGTGTCATGTCTGTATTTAGGAGTAGAATCTGCTGAAGCCTATTTCTTGCCAGGTAGGCTGCATTCCAATCTGATGGGAATCCTTTGGTGCATTAAATTGGCTCCAAAGTCAGCCTCAGGATGCTGGATGTAGGATGTAGACATCTTGCCTCTTCCCCTCCCCGTATCAGGAGCCGGGCCTGGCGTGGGTATCTTCACAGCTGATCTTCCCTGGGCACTCTGGGTTGTCCGTGATGACAAGCAGAGGGGCAGTGACTGATATCGACTCACGAAGAAGAAGGTCCACTGGCTTGGGAGTGAGGACACCCCTCCAGGTAGAACCTTCCCTCTGACCTCCTGGGTGCCCCTCTGCCAAGGGAGGGCTTTGAATAAGATGATTTGAGAGCCTCTTTTCACTCTAAGCCAGAATTCTAATGGGAGGGATTTGAAGCCTGATGACACGGCGGGGACAATATTTTTAGGTTGGTATTTTGCGTGCTTTTCACATTACGCCATATGGCCAGAAATATTCCTGCTAGAGACTGCCATTATTATCTCGGATAAGACAGTAAGACGTTAGAAAAAAAGAGAATCACAAAAACTCACTGTAACGGAAAATTGAAAGGACAGAGTGTTGGAACTGCATGCAGGGGCCGCCCGAGCCAGACCCACGCCGTGTCCTCGTGCTTAGCACGTTGCTGGGTGCTCAAGAAACAGAGGAGTGAATGGAACCGGAGACTGATGAAGCCCTACGGCAGAATCCGAGGGCTGGTGTCAGAATCCTGGGCAAACATTATTCACATATTCAGAAGAGGGGACTGATAGCCCAGGGGATGGGTTGTAGAATCTTCTGGGTGTCCCAGGCCCCGTCCCCGGTATGAGGGCGCTGTGGCCAGGAGGCCAGGGATGGTCCAGGGCTGAGTCTGGGGCCTCTCAGGGAAGGATGGGCTTCCGGGAAAGGAGTTTTCCGGCGGGAGAGCCTTTGGTGCTAGCCCTCCGGAGGCCTCGGGCGGGAGGCAGAGCACGCCCTTAGCAGGGCGGGGTGGGCCCAGTGCACAGCCTGTTAGGGTAATGGGCATATTTGCGGTCGTAGGTGCCCAGGTTGCGGCGAAAGCAGAGCGCGGCCTTCTTGTCACACTCGCAGGTCCGTCGCTGGCAGCTGGTTCTGCCGGCTGGATGGGACGAGGGTAGTAAGGGCCCTGGAACCTTGGGCCCGCTACTCCCAGCCATGTGCAGGGGAGCGCACTGGGGTCCATGTTCTCCACCCAGAAGCCGATGCTCACCCGGGGGATGCTCCAGGGTTGGGGGAGAGAACGGGCAGGGTGCCGAGGCCCTGCTGGGGCCAGGGATGCTGGAAGCCTGGAGATTCGTCCTTGCTGTTCCTCTCTCTCCCAAACCCACTGCACTGCCCCAAGCCCCTTCCCCACGGGGAGGCCACCTGGTTCGCTGTCCCTTGTCCCAGCCCAGGGCGGGCTGTGTTTCTGGGCAACCCCTTCTCCCACGCAATGGACGGTGCCGCCAGCCATCAGCCAGAGAGAAAACTAGTGAAAGGCAGCAGCTCGGTCCCGGGTGGCCTGGGCATCCCCGGAGGGCCTGGAGCTGGGGCCTGCACCTGCCTCCCTCAGCGGGGATGGAGCCCCTTTCTCCAGCATTTATCTCAGGGCCCACACCCAGCCTGGGGAGTGGGGCTGACACTAGCTCTGTGGGCTCCAGGGGCCCCAAAGCCTCCTCTTGCCTCCACCGCCTCTGTCTGCCCTCAGGGGCTCCGGCTGCTTTTTGTCCCCGTGAAGACGTCCCCCCGCTCAGACATGTCCGGCTTCCTCAGGGTCCTTCGCGAAGGTCAGCCTCATTTCCCCTCCAGGTTCTGCTCCCAGCTGCTCGTTCAGCAGAACTCAGATTTGTCTGGGGCTTAAGATCTATGTCAGCTCCCCTGGGGCTTCTTGCCAGGAGCTGGGCTAGGCTGGGCCAGGGGGAGGTAGGTCTCCCTTTTACAGTTGAAGAAACAGAAGCTTTTGAGGGTTTCGGTCCCTTGCCCAGAGTCACACAGTGGGGAGGGGACTCCTAGAACCTGTGTCCCTGTTCATCTGACCCCTCCCTTCACTCACCCTCCAATGCTGACCCTGACAGGCGGCTTCCCAGCCTCATATGAACTCCCAGTGACGGGGAGCTCATTACCTGACAAAGCCGCTTTGCTGAGTGGGTGGCGGTGGGAACAGGAAACTCGGAGCCCAGAGCCCATGGCTCTGGTTTTGTCCCGCCCCACCCCCAGGACAGGCCCCAAAGATCTGAGTCTTCTTTGACCCTCCCACCCCCGCTGAGCTGTGCCCCACCGCCCTGGGCCTGCCCTCCGCCTTCCAGGCTGCTCCTGGCTTTGCGGCAGGAAGAAGAAGGTTTGGCTCTCCGATGTGAGTTCCCTCCATGGGGCTGGGCTGTGTGGAGCCCTTCGCTACACTCTGATTCGGGTCGGGCTGTTTCTCCAGGCCGGGAGCAGAGGAGAACGCTAACTGGTCCAAGTGGGCGTGGGGCCTGGCAAAGAGGCGCCTCGGTGCGGTGGGTCAGCCTTTGGGAGTGGGGTCTGTGGTCCCATGTCCGAGCTCCAGCCTCTGGGTCTGGGGCTCTGCCCTCGAGGCCCTGTCCTGGGGACCTGCCCCTAGCAGCCGCCCAGGCCCGGGGGAGGGCTGTCTGGGCGCAGCTCCTCTGGGGCGGGCTCAGCGCTGTCCCTCTGTTCCTCCCCTCAGAGGCTGGAGCTGGGGGGCACCTCTGAATGGGAGGATGCTGGGCAGCAGCTGATGGGTCCCGGGCTCTCCAGCCTGGGTGCCACGGAAGCGTCTGGGTGCAGGGACATGCCTCTCCCTAATGCTGTGACGATGGAAGACCCGCCTCTCCTGCCCAGGTGACCAGGCTCAAGGGTCTCCATCAGGAGAGGGGTTCCTGGCGGAGTCCCTCCCCTCCCCCGGGGCCTGGGGGACCCCCAGGTCTGCTGACTCACCGCAGAAGATGCTGTGCCTGGTGGCGGAGAAGAGGTACCTCTCCATTTTGGGCTCGCAGCCCAGCTTCTCCAGGCGTCCGTAGCAGCAGTCATGGGCGTAGCAGCACCTGCGAAGGTCGCGCTCGGCCTGAAGGGGCCTGTGAGCCCAGCTGGGCTGGCCCGGGGGCCGCCTGGGGGGCTCAGGGCCCAGTGGGGCTCAGAAGGGAGGGGGTCAAGCCTCAGCTTCCTAGGTGCCCCCAGCTCCCCCCAGGATGCTCCCCACCGGCTGGGCCGCATGCTCACCAGTCTGTCTTGTCCACCGGCCAGCCGGAGCCGCCGACGCCGCAGTAGCAGCCATAGTCGTTGTATTGCAGCGCGGGCCTCCCGGTCACCCTCTCGATCATCACCCCGAACTGGACCAGGTTCCCGCCAGCCGGGGCCGCTGCGGGGATGGAGCGGGGAGGGCATCAGCTCCCTCGGGGCCCCACCCTCTGCGGCCAGCTGCAGGCCCCACACATCTGAGTGCAGGCATCTCTCTGATCGTCTCGGGAGTCTCCACCTCCCCGAGCACCTCACTCCCAATGAGAACAGTGCTCATCAGTAATACAACAGGGACGACAGGATGAGGTGGTTGGATGGCATCACAGACTCAATGGACAAACTCAATTGAGCAAACTCCAGGGGTTGGTGATGACCAGGGAGGCCTGGTGTGCCGCAGTCCACGGGGTCGCAGAGAGTCGGACACGACTGAACGACTGAGTGACTGACAGCGCTAATCAGTAGCGACGTCCCTGTGAGGTCTTTGCACCTTGATCTCCTGGTCGTCACCCGCATCGTGTCCCCACCTGACCTCCCACCCCTGCTTTCCTTCTACCGTCTCCCAGCAACCCCCCCACTCATCCTCTAGGCTCCCATCCCGGTTTCCTGATCCTCTCCCCGGGTGTCAGCCCCCACCCCCGCCCCTCAGGAGCACCCTGTCCCCATCGAGTCCCATCAGATGTCGCTGGATAAGCTTCCTGACCACCCAGACTTCCCCGAGTTCCTCTGGGTCCCGCTGCTGCAGCCGTGGGGGCCCGCCCACCCAGGCAGGTTAAAGGCAAAAACGGAAACTCAGGTGAGGGGTGGAGCGCAGGCGGCGGGAGCTGTCTGGGGCCCCTGCCAGCCCTTCTCCGCTGCTCCCTCCTCCAGACCATCCAGGCTGCAGCCGTGCCCCCTGGCCCCCTCTCCACTGGCCGGTTCTTCCTGGGCCAGCACCGGCCTCAGGGTGACTGATGACACCCTCCCTGGGGCCTGGCTCAGGAGCCCCGAGGAGTGTTCCCAGCCGGGGCAGAGCAGGAGCGCAGGCGGGAAGGTCACTTACCCAGGAGGCACAGGAAGGTCAGAAGAGGGGGCCACTTCATCCCGGGGGGTGGGGAGGGGAGCAGGGGGCAGAGAAGCTGGACTTCGGGAGACGGAAGCCAGCAGGGGCCCTCTGATCTCCAGGCACCTCCCTGATTAGTTAAATACCTGGGTCCTGTCCACTCCCCATCATTAACCCCTGAGCACCCAGTGATGCAACGATGCCTCCAGCTCTGACACTCTGGCCAAGTCCCAGGGGAGGGGCCAGGCTGGGGCCCGCGGCTCTGCTTCCAGAGCCAGGCGGTGGGGCCAGCCTCTGGGCCTTCTCCTCCCCGCCCTTCCCATCACCGCCCTCTTCCCCAGGATGCCTGCTCTGGCCCCGCCACGGGGCTGGGAGCCCGGGCCGTGCCTGGGCCTTTTCCTTCACGGGGTCTTTTTCTCCCCCTCGTTTTACTGACGCCGCTCCTGAGGCTCAGAGAGGCTGAGCTCAGATGTCCTGGGAGCCCCAAGGGTGAGCCTGTCCCATGGCCACACCGCTGGTTCCTTCAGCGTGGCTCTGACTCCCCGCCCTGCCCCTCAACCAGCCCCCACGGGACCCAACCATGAGGGTAGCTTGGCCAAATGACAAGGCTCTGGGCACCTGGGGGCCCTGTGTCCAAGAACCTAGAGTCCAAAGGCTGGGAGCTGAGCCAGCTGGGCTCGGGGATTTATCTTTGTTGTTCTTTCTTAGGCGTGCTCCTGCTTGTTTGATGGGTAGCAAAAATCTGCCCGGTTGAGAACTCTGTCTCCCCAAAACCCTTGAGCGGTGGCGTAGCATGGCTCCCATAGAAACAGGCTCGGTCTGAGTCAGCTGGGAAACCCACATCCCAGCAGCAACTGGAAGCTTCTATCCTTTTGATGTCATCTTAGGGCCCGCATGGGGGAGACAGCAGCTTCCTCCTCTGGCTGGGCTCCGAGAGAGACTGCTGTCACTGGAGTCAGGACAGCCCATGGAGGCTGGGCTTCAGGGCGTGGCTGGAGGTCAGCAGGACAGAGGAGGGGACCCGGCTCTGCTGTGATCAGAAATGTCAGGGTCCCACCGGCCCCCGACTCACCATGGCCTCGTTTGCTGGCTGGAGTCCACTCAGGCAGAACTGGTTGCAAGATGCCGGGACCTGGCCTGCAACTTCCCCCTGCCTTCCGTGTTCCTGGTCTGCTGGGATAACCAGATCAGCTACTTCCGTCAACGTCCAGGGCCTGGGAGCTGCTCGGTCTGTGTCCCTGGAGTCCTGATTCCACCATTTGTTACGTTTCCTTGTGCAGAATCTCGGTTTTCCTGTCCCTATTATGGGGAAAGAAGCCATCTCCTTCATGGGAAAGGAGGAGCGCTCGCAGCCAGCTCAGCAGCCCCACACCAGTGTTTTCACTCTGTGGCGGGACCATGCCAAGCTCGTCTCCAGCCGGATCTCCAGGGACCTTCACACAGCCTCATGACTCAGTCTCGGTGCTCATTCCCATTTTACAGAGGAGCAAACTGAGACACACGCCTAAGAAGCTGGTGAGCCAGAACGGGGGCCCAGACAGTTCAAAGGGCTTACAAGAGGCAATACCAACAGTAGGCAGGCTGCCGGGCACCCGTGATATCTTTGAAGAAAGTGAAAGTGTTAGTTGCTCAGTCCTGTCCAACTCCTTCGTGACCCCATGGACTGTAGCCTGCCAGCCTCCTCTGTCTATGGGATTCTCCAGGCAAGAATAATAGAATGCATTGCCATTTCCTTCTCCAGGGGCTCTTCCCCATCCAGAGATTGAAGCCGACTTTCCTGCATTGCAGGCAGATTCTTTACCATCTGAACCACCAGGGAAAGAGGCCCTTAAAATCTTCTCCGTTCTTTAAAGTCAGAGTGACTATAATCTAGCTTGGGTTATATTTAGCTTCATACCGTTGTAGTCACAGCATTTGCTTTCCAATTTTTTTTTTTTTTTTTAACGAGGAGAGGGTCCATGACAGGGAGAGTGGCCAAGGGTCCACAGTAAAAATCGTCCTGTAGCCTCGAGCTGAGCCACTGGCTGTAGGGCCTCTCCTTCGGGACCTGACTGGGGGTCTGGCTTCAGCATCCTTTCCAGGGGAGGAGGCTGGGCCTCAGCCTGCAGATGGGGAGGACTTCCAACTCGAATTCCCTGGCCGAACTCAATATTCCCTGTCCCGTCAGGGATAGAGTCCCTGGGGAAGTGTCACCTTGGGGCGGGGTGGGGAGGGCTGGTGCAGGGATCTCAGGCAGTGATCTGGGACTAAAGGCTTTCTGACCCTGGACAGAAAGCTGGGTAAACTCTGACATACATTCTGCTTGGCCCTGCTTCCGGCCCCTCCCATTTCCTGCTCAGGACTTCTGGAACCCTTTCCACTCCGGGCTGTGCTCACCCACTGGGAGCAGACTTGGGGGAAAAGGAGCCAGAGAGGTGAATCCCCTTGGACAGGGTCACCCAGCTGTGCTGAGTCACTGTCTCCGGGGGGAGGGGGCGTCCCCTTCTCACTTTTGCCTTTTGATTTTAACGAGGGCACTCCTGGCAGCCCCGGGCTCCTGGCCTGGGTCATTATATCCCAAACAGTGACTCACAGGGGAGCTACCTCCTAAATAACTGAAAATTAGCTTTGATTCCTGGGGAAGGGTTGACCCACAGCCCTTCCTCCAGCAGCATAAAGGGTGTTTCCCAGGAAGGAAGGGCTGGGTTTCTGAGACAGTCCCTTTATTGAGCCATTCTGAGTCCTGGCACAGCCAGGATGGGGCCCCTGTGAACTCTGCCAGGGTGCACCTGTGGCAGAAACCTGAGGACTGTGGGGCCAGAGGCAGGCAGGGAAATCCAGGGAGGCTTCCAGGAGGAGGTGTCCCCAGATGAGGTTTGAAGTAGGGAAGTTTGGGAGGAGAATGTTAGGGATTCAGGAAATGTGGTTGGTTTTATGGTTTTCTCACTTGTAGCACAATGTGGTTGAAAGCTCTGGATCTCTGCCTCACCAAGACAGGGACTTGAGCTCCACCACTTATGGGCTGTGTGGCCTTGGCAGGTTCCATCACCAGCTAAGCTCAGTTTCCTCATCTGTGTTGTGCAGTCACCAAGTCATGTCCAACTCGTTCGTGACCCCATGGACGGCAGCACGCCAGGCTCCTCTGTTTTTCACTGTCTTCCGGGGTTTGCTCAGAGTTTTCATGTCCGCTGAGTCAGTGATGCTATCTAACCATCCCATCCTCTGCCGCATCATCTCTAATGGGGAATAATTAGGCCTACTTTTCAGAGTTTGGGACCAGGCGAAAAGGAAGTGAAATGTGGAAAGCTCTTTGCGGGGTGCCATGCCCACAGGAGGAATTCACAAACACTGGGTCCCTCCTTAACCTGCTCACAGAGGAGGCAGCTGCCGGCCCAGGAGCTCAAAGCCCTCATCCCCGCTGGAGGCCAGTGGGCAGCTGGGTCGGCTCTGCCTGGATTTCAGTGGGGTTATCGCCCCCACTTGCCAAATTCTAACTTACATGATGGAGAAACAGGAAACAGAGCCCCGTCTCTTGGTAACGCGTCTTCCTCTTGGCGTAAAGCTGTCCCCGTAGTGAGAAGTCACCATCCTTCTCCTTCTCAATATCATCATCGTCATCCTCTTCACGATAAAAAAAAAAGGCAAAACAACCACCGTTTATTAAGTTCCTACAGCGTTGCAAGCACTTTGCGGAGAGCTCGTCACCTGTTCAATCTCATCACTTCCGGGCTTACCCCGGAGCCTGAAGGATCCTACAGCCTCTCCCAGCGAAGTGCAATCCCCTTCATCTGAAAGAATTCATTGCTCTTCGGTCAATAAACTAGACTGAGGATCTTCTAGGTGCTGGGACTCCATGGGAGAGCAAAGCCAGACCCAGCCTCTGCCCCCATGGAGCTGGCAGTCCAGCAGGGAGACTGGCATTATTCATTGTGTACTGAATGGAAACTTTCAAATAGGAATAAGTAGCCTGATCGAATGTTCCTTGGGTTTATGAGAGCATTTAGTGGGGATGTCTGATCTGGGCAGGGCTTCCCTGTGGAAGAAATGATTTAGCAGGGATCTCAAGATGTTAATAAGGAAGTGGGGAGAGTTTAAATGGAAAGACAGTGTGTGCAAAGGTCCTGTGGCCTGAAGGACTTGGTGCCTGGGAGGGGCTGAAAGGAGCCTGTGAAGTTGGGCTGGTGGTGCGTGGGTCTTGAAGGGCATGATTCACTGGGGAGCTGATCCCGGGACCATGACCTCCCATTCACCTCACAGCCAGCCTCTGACTTGAGTCTGATGGAAAAGTGGCCTAGAGCTTGCCCGATGCAGGAGAGGGCCTGTGGTTCCCCATGAGAATAAGGCCCCTCACTGCAAGACCTCAGCCTGGAAAACCCCATGGATGGAGGAGCCTGCTGGGCTACAATTCATGGGGTCGCAAAGAGCGGGACACGACTGAGCAACTTCACTTTCTTTCTTTCTGAAAGACCCGGTGACATTTTCCTCCCAACGAGGAGCCGCCCTCTGGTGGGAACAGGCTTTGTACAACTGCCATCACAGACATTCGTGTCAGAGGGTAAAGAACAAGAATCCTCTGCCTGGGCCTGTTGTCTATAAGGTCGCCAGGATGCTCGCAAAGCGGCTCCGCTGAGCCTTGCTGAGCTCTGTCCAGGGAACGGTGGAGTGCCAGGTTTGAAGGGTTTGAAATAAATGACTTGCTCATATGTTTGGACAAGATGATTCTGGCTGCTGAGAGGTGAATGAATGGGAGAGACAGCAGCAAGGAAGAGAAGCAGGCAGGAGAGTGGGGTACCGTGGACTCCAGGGTGGGCCCCCACTTCAGGGGATGGGGTGGGGGCAGGACACCTGGGACAGCGCAGGTGGGTGGCGGAGCCGAGGAGGGAGGGTGATGAATGTGCCTTGCTGGGCAGGTGCAGGGTCACAGGAGGGAGAGGAAGCCGAGAGTCTCCGCCCCAGACAGCTTCAGTGCCCCCGCTGGTCCAAGGGAGAGGGGGAGCAGGGACGCCCCCACAGGTATGGGCAGGGGCACTGCATAAGCTCCTGGGTGATGCTGGCGGTGGT